GATAGATAGATAGATAGATAGATAGATAGATAGATAGATAGATAGATAGATAGATAGATAGATAGATAGATAGATAGATAGATAGATAGATAGATAGATAGATAGATAGATAGATAGATAGATAGATAGATAGATAGATAGATAGATAGATAGATAGATAGATAGATAGATAGATAGATAGAGATAGATAGATAGATAGATAGATAGATAGATAGATAGATAGATAGATAGATAGATAGATAGATAGATAGATAGATAGATAGATAGATAGATAGATAGATAGATAGATAGATAGATAGATAGATAGATAGATAGATAGATAGATAGATAGATAGATAGATAGATAGATAGATAGATAGATAGATAGATAGATAGATAGATAGATAGATAGATAGATAGATAGAGATAGATAGATAGATAGATAGATAGATAGATAGATAGATAGATAGATAGATAGATAGATAGATAGATAGATAGATAGATAGATAGATAGATAGATAGATAGATAGATAGATAGATAGATAGATAGATAGATAGATAGATAGATAGATAGATAGATAGATAGATAGATAGATAGATAGATAGATAGATAGATAGATAGATAGATAGATAGATAGATAGATAGATAGATAGATAGATAGATAGATAGATAGATAGATAGATAGATAGATAGATAGATAGATAGATAGATAGATAGATAGATAGATAGATAGATAGATAGATAGATAGATAGATAGATAGATAGATAGATAGATAGATAGATAGATAGATAGATAGATAGATAGATAGATAGATAGATAGATAGATAGATAGATAGATAGATAGATAGATAGATAGATAGATAGATAGATAGATAGATAGATAGATAGATAGATAGATAGATAGATAGATAGATAGATAGATAGATAGATAGATAGATAGATAGATAGATAGATAGATAGATAGATAGATAGATAGATAGATAGATAGATAGATAGATAGATAGATAGATAGATAGATAGATAGATAGATAGATAGATAGATAGATAGATAGATAGATAGATAGATAGATAGATAGATAGATAGATAGATAGATAGATAGATAGATAGATAGATAGATAGATAGATAGATAGATAGATAGATAGATAGATAGATAGATAGATAGATAGATAGATAGATAGATAGATAGATAGATAGATAGATAGATAGATAGATAGATAGATAGATAGATAGATAGATAGATAGATAGATAGATAGATAGAGAGATAGATAGATAGATAGATAGATAGATAGATAGATAGATAGATAGATAGATAGATAGATAGATAGATAGAGATAGATAGATAGATAGATAGATAGATAGATAGATAGATAGATAGATAGATAGATAGATAGATAGATAGATAGATAGATAGATAGATAGATAGATAGATAGATAGATAGATAGATAGATAGATAGATAGATAGATAGATAGATAGATAGATAGATAGATAGATAGATAGATAGATAGATAGATAGATAGATAGATAGATAGATAGATAGATAGATAGATAGATAGATAGATAGATAGATAGATAGATAGATAGATAGATAGATAGATAGATAGATAGATAGATAGATAGATAGATAGATAGATAGATAGATAGATAGATAGATAGATAGATAGATAGATAGATAGATAGATAGATAGATAGATAGATAGATAGATAGATAGATAGATAGATAGATAGATAGATAGATAGATAGATAGATAGATAGATAGATAGATAGATAGATAGATAGATAGATAGATAGATAGATAGATAGAGATAGATAGATAGATAGATAGATAGATAGATAGATAGATAGATAGATAGATAGATAGAGATAGATAGATAGATAGATAGATAGATAGATAGATAGATAGAGATAGATAGATAGATAGATAGATAGATAGATAGATAGATAGATAGATAGATAGATAGATAGATAGATAGATAGATAGATAGATAGATAGATAGATAGATAGATAGATAGATAGATAGATAGATAGATAGATAGATAGATAGATAGATAGATAGATAGATAGATAGATAGATAGATAGATAGATAGATAGATAGATAGATAGATAGATAGATAGATAGATAGATAGATAGATAGATAGATAGATAGATAGATAGATAGATAGATAGATAGATAGATAGATAGATAGATAGATAGATAGATAGATAGATAGATAGATAGATAGATAGATAGATAGATAGATAGATAGATAGATAGATAGATAGATAGATAGATAGATAGATAGATAGATAGATAGATAGATAGATAGATAGATAGATAGATAGATAGATAGATAGATAGATAGATAGATAGATAGATAGATAGATAGATAGATAGATAGATAGATAGATAGATAGATAGATAGATAGATAGATAGATAGATAGATAGATAGATAGATAGATAGATAGATAGATAGATAGATAGATAGATAGATAGATAGATAGATAGATAGATAGATAGATAGATAGATAGATAGATAGATAGATAGATAGATAGATAGATAGATAGATAGATAGATAGATAGATAGATAGATAGATAGATAGATAGATAGATAGATAGATAGATAGATAGATAGATAGATAGATAGATAGATAGATAGATAGATAGATAGATAGATAGAGATAGATAGATAGATAGATAGATAGATAGAGATAGATAGATAGATAGATAGATAGATAGATAGATAGATAGATAGATAGATAGATAGATAGATAGATAGATAGATAGATAGATAGATAGATAGATAGATAGATAGATAGATAGATAGATAGATAGATAGATAGATAGATAGATAGATAGATAGATAGATAGATAGATAGATAGATAGATAGATAGATAGATAGATAGATAGATAGATAGATAGATAGATAGATAGATAGATAGATAGATAGATAGATAGATAGATAGATAGATAGATAGATAGATAGATAGATAGATAGATAGATAGATAGATAGATAGATAGATAGATAGATAGATAGATAGATAGATAGATAGATAGATAGATAGATAGATAGATAGATAGATAGATAGATAGATA